AAGTCATATGCTGCATTGAGACATCACAGTCCAGTCACTCTGATAGCTTGGGACTCACAATGTTTCAAGATTCCAACAAGTGTCAGGACAATTGTTCCAATCAAATTTCTATTGCATGTGGGAAATTATCCTGGAATTCCCAAGAACCAGTTTCACATTGAAATACATGCAAATCCTATTTTAGGACTTTTTTATTATACACTTTGTTAGTTTTTTACATGCTGCATCATATCTTAATTAAGGGACAAAAATTGGCTCTGTATAATAGAAAAGACATAGAATAAAAAGTAAGATAATATTCAGATGAGTTTCCTATAGTGCTGAGAACCAGAAAAATGCATTGGATAGATGGCATTGCTTTAACATAGGAATCTTAAAGGTTTAGACTCATTTGGGCACAGTCATTATTACCAGCATTCAGAGGGAGACACACCATGTCATAGGTTATAGAAGATACCTTCAGCTTTTATTCTCTGATATAAAAGCAGGAAAGTTCAAAAAGGTCCATATTTCTATAAATAAACAATACTCTATTACTGTGTTTTGTGAATGCGTCAAGTCTTGAAGAGGCAGATTGTGATCTTGGCTTTTTGCCCACACCAGGAATTAAGAGGCAGTTCAGCATTCATGTTGCCTACATTTGCTGCTTATAAAACCACTACCAATGTTAGAAGCAAGGAGCATACATAGGACCATTGATTCACCTTTTTTACAGGTAGATGGGAATGGTCAACTAGAAGAAAGTGTACATCTGTATGTTTCCCTCTAGTGCACAGGCTAAGTAGTCATATAAAACTGTAAGCTCTAAATAAAAGACATACATACTGGCATATTTCCACAACTGAAAAAGGAGAGAAACGTGATAGCATAGGACTTTCTGTGGCTTTGAGACATGATGTGACTTTTTTAGGCTTTTTCATTTTCACTGTTGTTAATGTATGAATATATTTAATTTTTGCACAATGGTAAAAGAAGTCATTCCTGACTCCTGCTATCTGGAGTTCCACCATTCCACCTGTCCTTCCTAATAAATGAAAGAGAGAGGTTACTCAAGCTCTAGGCCTCTGCTCATCTACACATGCTCAAATGGCAGTTCTTTCTCTAATCATGCTTTGGACTACTCCAAATATCTCTCTTCAAAACGAAGTCTGAGCAGCCTTTTGGAAACAGTTTTCTTCATGAACTGATGCCAGAAGTCTACACAGATGAAACGATGCCAGTTTTCTCTCCAAATATTCTACACAGTCCTCCAATACCTTCCTCACAGACTAATCACCCAATTGCACATGACAGATCCTCATGTGACACGTCTAAACTGCCAATCTCTTGAGTTTCCTAATAAAAATTAGGAAGCTCTAGGAAGCTGCAACCTAGCTTTCACATTAGTTCAGGCATTGCAATCTGGAAAATAACACACCTGCCACAAAATCTCACACCTGTAAAATAAAGGTGTTCTCTTAAGTCTTTAAGGGTTTAGCTGAAACAGTCAAGTGCTATGCAGTGTGGATCTGAGAAACCTGTACTAGGCTAGATAGCTCTCTGCAGTGTGGAAATGAGCTGGTCCTTTTCACTTATCTCAGACACTGAGACTTGCAGTTCTCAGAAACTCTCACTCTTTTATTGTTTTTTACTTAGTAGTATATGCACAGTCTCATGTTGCTGTCCTCTCACTAGCCATTACTATATCTCTTTACCCCACTATCTGTATATTCATTTTGTATGAAAAATATCAATAGCTACAACATTGCCCTGAGAAAGCAAATATGTGAATGTGGGAATCCACAAATACAAATCGTAATTTAAAAAATGAGACATTTACATCATTTGGAGGGTCTTTTATACAGATACTGCTTATCATATTTTTTTTTCAAATGCACTAGCAGATGACTGTAACAACTTCTAGTGCTGTTCTAAAGGCAGACCTCTTTTATAAGCTCAACACTCCAGTCGTCTTCCCACTCATTACATCCTACATGTTGTCAATCTTAGTTTCAAAAACTGTCAGTCAGAAATGCAGTGGGAGATACGTGTAGCATTTTTTTAAGCACACTAAGGTGGGCATTTCTTTCATTTTCCTTTATTCTCTTGATTGCAAAGTACAGTATGTGTCTTACATGCGTGCAAGCAAACACAAAACTACATGAAAAACGGTATTTTGAAAACTGAAAACAGAACTTTCATACAGTAACCCTTACAGCTAATCAAAGTATTTTTGTTAATCAAACATCACCCTGATTATTTAATACAGTTGTTCCAGGTATTATAAGGTCATCTTTATATTTAAGGTTACTAATTGAGTAAGAACAATGATAAAATATTAACAAAAGAGAGAAAATAAAAGTCACAATATTTTGCTGAAGAACATTTTAACTTCTACTATAATGTTTATATTGGTATCAAGAGAAGGAGAAGGAAGAGAAGGAGAAGCAAAAGGACAAGGACAAGGCACAGGAGTGGAAATAAAGCCTATTAGATGTGTGAGTGATCAGTATGGGAGTTTTTGTTTTAACAAACACCAATATAGTAGTTGATACTAAATAACACCATAAACTAAGGTAAAATCCTAAAATAAAAATAATAATAATAATAATAAATAAAATCTTATTTCACCCACCCATGGAATTTCTTTGAATGATTTTTCTTAAGTGTTTGAAGAACCACATTTCTGCCAAATCCCTCAACACTGTATCAACAGGCTTTACCCACTGCCACTGGTACCAGAAAATGGCAGTTTCACTAAACCTTATAAACCTTCTGGTGGCATGTAATTTAAATAACTTGCTGAAGTGGTTTGCCTCAGGGGCAATAAGGTTGACCAACTGGTGATCTGTTATGGTGCTGTAGAATGAGGACTGAAATTATTTTAGTGGTAGCTATATACAGAACAAAAAAATCTTCAACAGAAAAGATAATAAATAAAAACAAAATAGCATTTTCAATTCTGGGATTAAAAAATAGTTTCTTCATGTTTTCTCTTATAGCTGAACTCTTTCAGTGACCATTCACAGAATAACTTGCTGAGGAACTTCGGCAACAGGGTACTTTTCCAATTTAGACCTTAATGACTTTATGGATTTTGGGGAATGATCAAGAAGTTAAGCATTGGTGGTGGTTATTACATCTTTTAAAAGTACTCTACTTATACAGTTTGAAATAGCTGAAGTCTTCATGTCTGACAAATGTTGGTTGCAATGAAAATATTTACATACTCCTAAGTGCAGTGACTGTCAGATGTTGCTAAAATTACCAGTGTTGCTCAATACTAAAGGCAACATGAGTGATTGTCAGCCACTAAAAGAAATAGGTTCTGTGCTCAAAAAAAAAAAAAAAAAGAGAGAGACAGAGAGAGAGAGAGAAAAGGTTTATCTATTCTAGCTTCCCAACTTTTTAAAACTTCTTTATGTGCTTCAAAATATACTGACTTGCTTTAATGGGGGAATGTTATCACTTCTCTTCCAATCCCTGACACACAGTGTACCGAGAATAGACTAATTTTCTATTTGTCTGACTGCTGTTTTCTGCAATGACTCTTTGAACCATAATCTATTTTATGGCTAATCCTTTAGTTTAATTCCCTATTTATTGGCATAACTGACAAGAGAGAGGTAGCTAAATAGCATTCTAAACCCCTCACCCTATTAAGGGGCAAAAGAACTTAAGTACCTAAAGAATGCAGATATCATACAGATGAGCTTCCACACTTCAGTATTTTTGACACTGTATTTCACACTTCCTAAGCATTTTCATCCATAACTCTGCTTTTCAAAATGTCAGTTGCTTTATTTTTTGTAAGAATTAGATCTCAATTCATTGTCTAGAGGAATAGTAGATGCAAAAATCTCTGCATTGTACCTCTGTGTCATTCTTCTCTGCATGCCACATCCAGAAATGAGTGTCATTTCTAGAAATGCAGGGTCATTTCTAAAAATGCAGCTTCAGAATAGAAGTAAACTGATAGCTCATGTGACCACAGTCACAAAGTAGAAAGTACTTCGAAAATGCTAAAAGAAAGTGTGGAGAAGATGGACTAGGGTTAATTTCTGAGCAACTTCAGAGACTGATATTTTTTCATAGATGTTCTGAAGTGCTTCTAACCTCAGCTTACCTTGCTTTTCTTTCCACTGTGAAACACTTAGATATTTTTGGAAAAGACACTATATAAGGCTAGATTTTTAGTTCAATGAGATACCTATGCATTGGAGTAACGGAGACTTAAGATAAAGGAATACAAAAATATGCAAAATTACGTGGATGTTGTGAATTCTCTAAATCCTTCCCTTTCCAGAAAGCAAAGAAGTAGGCAGAGCACACATGGGATCATGTTCATTCACCTAGAGCTGGTGAACCAACTAAGTGTGGGATGTAAGACTTTGCTGTTGGTACTTGGCAGTAGCAATCACCACAATCCTAGTGCCAAAAGTGGCAGAGTATATTAAGAGTTTCTAGAACCACAGACATCCTCTTGGGATGCTCAAATAAGAACAATTCTTGTTGCCATTTACTGATCTGTGTCCTGGAGATTAAAGTAGCCCCAAATTAGCAACTAAAAATGGCAATTTATCTATTAAATGTTTGTAGAATAATCAGAAGTACTTATAAGTGCTTCAGAATGGTATTGGTCCACAAAAGTGAATGATAACTATATGATAACAGTTCACTCTATAAAAACATAAGAAAGTGGAAAGAGAAGACAATTAGTAGAACTCTTAGAGAAGGAGAAAGAATAACTCTCAACTACCTGTATAATTGCAATACAGTATGATTCTTCATAACTCAGCTAAATTGTTTCTTGTTTGTGTTTCCTTAAAAGCATGGCTATATAGACATTACCTTAATGAACTGAGAGATAGCAAAGAGATTTTAGCATTGAAAAAAATCATCTGGAAAAAAAGGCATTCAAAATTGATTAAATCATGCAGGTGACAAGATGAATTCAGCAATTCTTTAAATTTTCACATTTATAGAATAATCCTTCAGCATAAGCAATATTAAATCCTTACCAAATCATTCAGCAGGGAGTAGGCTGTGAAAAAGAGATTTGATTAATACAGACTATATGGTTTTCAGCATTGATTTTTCACTCTGACAAAAAGTACCAAGTAAAAGAAGGTTCCCTGAAGTACTAAAATAGTCTGTGGCAAAGAAATGGGCAAAATTATGAAACATAAATGCCAGATGGCTGTGTTTTCATGTACCAATGGGTGTCATAATACCACTCCTGACTGCATTTTTTTACATAAAAGACACCAGAAATAAAATGTATCAGAAAACCACATTCAGTTCTGAATATCAATTATAGGAGTCCCAGTGCAGAAAATTAAATGACTGGCTGCATCACAATTATTTAAAGTGTTTAACATCTCTATACAATAAAAAAATAAGTACAGGCTGCACAAAAAGCTTTCTAAAGCTATCTAACTGAAATATTAAGTGCAGTTTTTCATCTGAGCTCCTATTCCTTTTTCTAGATGTTATGTGTCTTGTTCACTCAGAGCAGATTTATCTTTTGAGGCTACCAATTAAGCCAAACAAAACTTAACTTTTTTTAACAGTGGCTAATTGTCCAGTTTTGCACAGTAATTTACCCAGAAAGTGTGAGAAGGGATCAATTTACCTGGAGATATTAAAATCAGCTTCTCAGATCTACCCTTCCTATTGAAGTTCAGATACAGTTCAGTCATATATGCAGAAGTTCACAGGCCTGAAGAAGAGCATGCAATTTCTGTAGTGTAGTAGACAAAGTACATGGGGTACAGTCTGAATTTGGAGTTTGTTCATTTCATATCAGAAAGACACTGAAACAAAAAACATGTATGAAGAAAGGGAATTGGAAATTTGGAAACTTTGGAAATTTAGGGGTTAGACTCTCTCCTGACTGTTCTGGACAAAATCCTCCCACTCCTCAAGCAGTGTCCCAGAGACTGAGGATCACCTCAAATTTCATAGTCTGAAAGATTGTGAAGTAGTGCTAATAGTGGCTTTCTGAACTGCTGTTTTGAGTTTAGGAGTTTAACTTCTGCTTAAAGCTCATTTTAACCGTTCAATGTGATTCTCGCTACCTATAATACTTTATTCAAGCAGCTGAAAGTCTATATTCTACTGCTAGACAATGTTCATCCAGTAGTATTTTAAACAGCAGAGTTTGAAATGTCAGGCCTTTCCAAAACAAGAGAATGCTTCAAATCAAATTTGTTATAGATATGCAGGTGTTGTGGGGTTTGTTTGTTTTGTTGTGTTTTTTGTTTGTTTGTTTGTTTGTTCCTGGTTATAGAAATTAAAAAAGGAAAGAAAGCAAGTTCTCAAAAGCTCCCTGAGTTTTATTTTTTCTGTCTGATGTCTACAGAGTTGTCATGGTTCTAACTGAAACCAGGACAAGAGTGAACCAAGAAAATGAATCTGTTTAAAAGACAGTTACAGACTAGACAATACAAGATGAATTATCTACTAGATGAATATTATCTACTACTTTTACTGGATTTTATTATTTTTTTTACTGAAGTAAAATATCTCACAGAAATTTAGAGAAGGTAAATGTAGAGAAAGAAATACAGTTTTCTAGTAGCTGGGTAAAATTAGACCGCAGTGGGATATTTTGGTTAAAGTGAAAAATTATTAACAGACATATTTAAAATAGAATAGAGATAATAGAAATTATCAAGAGTAACTTTGAAATTTTTTATATCACACACATATGAAGAGCAGTCCTTGAAGATAAGGCCTTGTTGTAGAAATATTTGTTTATAACAAAATAAAATAGTAATTTAATTTTTCGGTGTTGTATCAGAAATGCATTGAAAATAGAACAGTCAAGAGATGTCCCTTACAGCCCTAACCATTCTGTTTTATTCTGTGAATAAATGTATGACAAGTTAAAGATATTGACATCAAAATGTCTTCAAAAGCAAAAGAAAATGGTTTACATGTCTTTGTGCCAGAATCTTTGCAGAGGTAACTCAAGATATGAGAATGGTGTTTCAGGGTATGTCTCCTCAGGACATCAGTGCCATTCAGAAACAGTTGACAAGGTACGTGTGAACTAAGTCACCTATGCATGCTGTCAAACAACTTAGCACTCCATTTCATTTCACTCTGCAGTTCATTGACTGTTCACACTGCTTGTATGTCAGTTTGCTCCTGGGCTCTCTTTTGAGCTGTCACAGCTAGTTTTCTCTCAGGGAAACTTCAAGTGTGAACCTGGGGATAATTTACTCCAAAGTAAACCTATAGGCAGTACAAACAAAATTGCAACAGGGTTGTCTTGGCACCTGCACCACCACAGACAAACACACACACAAACTTGTACACAGCAAAACCAGATGTCAGATGCCCACGTGTTCTTATGTCATACTTCCAATACTTCCAGCCAGTTCATATAAGCCAATATCTGAAGACAGGGTTTGCTGGGTTTTGGCCTGCTGTATGCTGTGTACTCACACTGCTAGTTTCTCAAAACAAGCAAAAAGGAAGGTGTAGACTTCCAGTATTTAACAGGAACATGGTCCCAGGGTTGCAGAGGTATTTGCTGGTGGATCATTGAAACAAGGTTCAGTTCAGAATACAAACACTTTGTGCTGTCAAGTGTCATGCAATTAATATCACATGAAATTTTATTAAAACATCTTCAAATAATTTACAATGGAAGGTACTACCTTCCAAATAGTAGCACTACCATTAGAAACCCTGATGAACAAATGATAAAGTTTTCACTCTCTTAGTTCCTTACCACTCAACACAGGGAGCAAGAAGACACATTGAACAGTTTGAACACATACCTTTCTTCAAAATGTAGGGAGTACGCTAAATAGCCAGGGTCCCCTGGAAATAAATGTATATGATAATACAATAAAGATGCCATGATAGAGTTGAATGAAGATTCTGCAACCATTTCTCTGTATATGAACACTTATCTTTTAAATCTTATCTTTTATTATTAGTTTATATTTACTAACATGTAGCAGTCTTGTTATCAGTCTTCTCAATCAAGTGGATATACTTGAGCTAAAAACTCATTTTTATAATCCTGGTTGTATTTTTTGTAAGAATAAGGTAATATAGGGGCAGCACCATTATTTATGCCTATAGCCAAAGATTTGATGTTACTTTCATTTTTTCCAAAACTGTTCATATGAAAATGACACAAGCTGAAACTAGTTAGATAACTACAAGGTGCCAAAATTCATCTGCAGTGACTTGAATATATACCATATTATTTATCTTTTTTTCCTATTTATAAGGAAAGTTTAAAATGCTTAGGAGAAAATAAATAAATAAATAAATAAATAAATAAATAAATAAATAAAATAAAAAACAGATCAGAGGAAGAGTAGGAATCAAAAGAAATACATTTTTTCATGGGAACAAAGCCTATTCTACTAAGGTAGATTTGACTATTACTTACAGGAAAAAAAAAAAAAAAAAAAAAAAAAAAAAAGACAAGAAAGCAGAAAGCAAAAACTTAAAAAATGAGGCTTCAGTCTTTATGGTTTTGACACTCTGCTGGCTTTCCCCCAAGATTTCTGTAGAACAGTGTGTGGAGGCAAAATGTTCTGCACTACTTCTAGGACATACACTTTCCCTTGCCAAGTACGCCAGGGCTCAGTACAACACTCACACAGCCAACACATCTTCAATGTTTAAAGTTTAATCTAAAAAAAAAAAAAAAAAAAAAAAAAAAAAAAATCCGCACACTGAATTGAAGGGAATCAGCATTCCCATTTTGAAGATTTGAGTTAAACCTACCTCAATTTAAATCATTGGCTTAGAGAATTCAAACATTTCCATTAAGTTTAGAGCAGTAAGCCACTCCCTCCAGTAGTCCTGAAAGAACCAAAGAACCATTTCTTCTTCCTTCCTTCCTTTTCTTTAAAACCATTTTCTTTCATCATAGGAAATATGCTGGCAAATTGTGAAGTGCAAAGAAATATTAAGATAAGTTAGTGAAAGAGGTGGGAACAGAATTCTATCAGGAACTCCAGGCCTAATTTATGTGCCTTGAAGCTAAAAAAGAATTACATAATGTGAAGTTTTCTATGTCTGACATGCACTATTGTAAATTACACAAGAAAACGCCTCTTAGAAATTTTTATGATAATGCTTTTTCCTTGGTTGGCAATGCCAAGATATCAACATCCATTAAAAAAAAAAAAAAAAAAAAAAAAGTATATTCTCAATGTTTCAATCTCAATGTTTCTCAGTGTTTCAATCTATCTAAAGAATTCACTGAGTTTATTATACCATCTACTTGATTTGAAGGAGGAATTAATGCAACACCAAAATCTAGTGAGGTATGTCTCAAAAACTAGTACAACTACTTATTAAATTACTTGTTCCGTCACTTTAATGAAGACATTTGGGAGAAAAAAAAAATGTATTTACTGCAATCAGAGAACTGATTCTTCATTACAGTCATATGATCAGTGGGAAAAGCAAAGGATTTGCCATAATCTATTTTACTATGCTTTCTCAACAAGGAAAATAAAAAGAATCAATTTCAATAAAAGAATCATTTAAACATAGGAGATGACAAGGAAGATAGCCATTCCAAAGGTAGTAGCTGCTTCTAGTCATTCAAACTCAGCATAAAATTAATCTTTATGAGATTTTAGCACTGCATGGTTTAGATTAACACATTATATACAGAAGACTTAAGCAGCAATATATATATTTTTTTCTTCCCTTCCTTTGTTATTAATAGGGTCATTCATAAGGCCGTTGGTGTGAAGATAGGGAGTTGTCTACTGCCATCTGTTGATGAATTAAGATAGAACTGAAGTCCACAGGAGAAGGAGATTGATCCCACCATTCCTTGGTGAACATGGGGAATTCTTGGAAATATCTTTGAGAAATAAAAAAATAATAATAATAATTAAAAAAAAAAAAAGTCTGCATCAGCTTTCCCAAGTAGTTCTTTGGGACTCACCAGAACTGCATGAGAGCTGTGGAAACACCATGGAAACAAATAAAAGGTTCTGCTTTATGACCACTCAAAGGTTCTGCCCAAAGGTAAAGCAACTGATCCCATCCTGCTGCCAAGGTTTTTGTGCGGAAATAATATGGACGTGATTGCAGGAAGCCATCTTTGCAGTAAAAGAGTGCATTGTTAAAAGTGGTGGAGAACAGCAGCAGAAAATCTAAATATGGTTGCTAGCTTGTCTCCTGAAATTTTCAGAAGCTAACCCAACAGTACAATGGATCAAGACATGGTATTTAAATATGCATAGCGTGTCATGGTTACTGTATTGCAAAAAGACAAACAAATAACGTATAAACTCAGACTCAATACTGAAAGGACAGCAATTCTACTTGAGTAAGAACATTGTTGTTTGGTAGGTAATTTTTGTAAATGCATAGACTGTTTGAATAGACCTAAATCTATATTCAGTAACAATTTTGGACCAAAGTATTGAAAGAGTACAACTGTGATTACTTTCCTTTAAATTTATTTTTATATATGTATAGTCTTAATTTATGATATTTACAGGGAATTACTGAAATAATTTTTCAGAATTCACTATACTTTAATACTTTATACATACTATATTTTTTACTATACTTTTATACTTTATACATCAGCCCTTCTAAATTGCTGGAAATAATGTAGTTAATTGTCCATTTCTTTATCTTTTGTACCAAAATTATGAATATCTGAAGTAAATATTTTTATTTTTTAAATTACCTATTACTAGTATAAATTTGATCCAAATACAAGTTTAATAGCTGCAAGGTAGGTAATATCTATATTCTACTGCTTATGAATAGAATAAAATATATTTAGTTATCTCTGAGGGAAGTTTGTTAGTTTCTGTTCTGCTCTCTGCCTCACTGCTGTTGTGACACATAGTTCCACCCTTACTGACTAGATTCAGAAAATTCATGGGGTGTAAGTGTTCAACAACCTGCTAATTTGTTCTTGAGACACTTTTTTTTTTTTTGTCCTCAGTTGAGTCAAAGCTTAAGGAGGCTTATGGAAATCAAGATTCATTCAGTGAAAATGAAAATTCTCAAACTAAAATTGAAGTTCTCCCGCTGAAATCCAAATACTTCCGATCAAACACAAAGGATTTTCTATCTGAACCATCATTCATTCCCTACTGCAACCAGAAAACTGATCCCCTTGTACGCTGCTTAGATCACGTGAAGATCTTGATCAATAAGCCACCATGAGACCTAGTAGCCTGAGGGTATCTCAGATTTCCAAGATAATACTGACACCAAACTATAGCTAGCATCAGGGAACTAAAGAAACTATATAACAAAGGGATATTTGCTTATCTAGTATATTTTCCTGTAATCAGAGAGTTTTTCCACCATGTTGTCCTTTTTTCCTGTTTCCCATTTTTTTCACAATGCTGTACTTCTTTCCTTCAATTTGCTACTTCTGGCAGTGCCAGCCTGGACACAGAGCCTAATTTAATATGTTCATTGGATAATAGTCTGTTCTGTGTCTCACCTTTAATGTTGATACATTTCACTAGTGAAAGCAGACTCACTCATTGAGAAACAATGAACTTAAGCACTGAAGTGCAGTTGTTATTTTACTAACTGTTTATATAAGCCAGTGGTTGATAAATTCTTCAGGAGTTTTCCCCACATAAATTATTGGGTTCTTTTATGCAATGATGATATATTTTTCTTTGTTTTATATCTCAGTTCAGTAGTTGCATGTGAATGAATCTTGAACATTAAGAGACCCAGGGAAGGCATTTATTTTTTGAGGCCTTTTAAAAGAAGTTTAAAGTTACAGGTCCTTGCAAAGGCCAAGTGAAGCTCCAAAATATTGGCTTCAGATAACTGAAAAATTGCAAGCAAAAAAAATTTGATTTTGAAACTCGAATGCAAATTCTATCGTAAAATTTAACTATTTAATTTCCACATTTTTTTTTCTCCATTAAGATTTTTCTTCTGAAGATTGCCTACTATTGGGTCTTTCTAAAACAGCAGTTAATTTTTCCCAGAATGTTTAATTCTTCATGTGTCTAAGAACAGCTAAAATTTGATCACATATTTGATGCTTCCTTTTATTGTATGTTTGTATGTGAGAGGTATAGCCTTGTAACATTTTCTATATTTCCTCTCCCACTACATCCTACAACACAGTAACCTTCACACTGACTGAGAATAGCTGGATACTGCTTCCTGCATGGTTTCTCAATTGCTGGCAATTTACTTGGCCAGATGGGGTTTCTGTGGAGAAATGTGAAGGCTAAGTGTGCCCCTGCAGAGCTCTTGGCTCCTGCTGACTCAGCAAGTGAAGGACACAATCAAATAGTATAACTTTCACCTCTTTTCTCACTTTCTGTTTTGCCTCTTTCCACTCATTGACAACTGTCTGAACTACTATTTCAGGTGACTTTTTTTTTTTCAGTTAGGATCTGCAGTAGCTTGAAATTAAGGGAATCTTTACCAGTCTTACTCTAAGTTCCTACAGAGAAAATGTAAAGTCACAAAGACTAAAGTGAGTCATGAAGCTTTAGCAGACACACAAAGCAGAAGCAGTGCATGTAGGTAATATGAAATGGTAGCTCAGAGTTCTACAGTCATGAATGGAGGATAGTGCAGTGTCTGCATATTGTCTCTATAAGAGCAGCAGAGTGAAGCATCAGTCAGTTTTTGCTATTACTGATACTAGGAAAGCATTAAGAGCAGGAGCAGCAGCTGATATATATATATATATTTTTTTTTTTTTTTTTTTTTTTTTCTGGAGAAGCCTTAAAAAAGACTAACTGAGGGCAGATATTGAGGGAAATGAGATTTAAGCCCCATTATAAATGGAAATGTCTTCAAAGAGAGTACTTTTGAAAATGTGCTGAGGCACCAGACCATTTAAAAGTCATGGGAACATATTCATTAACCGCATTAAAGTGAAGGAAAGTCCCATAATACACACATACATTTACAAGTGATTGACTTCAGAATGCCTTAAATCAGCACATAGATATTTTTATAAAAAGTAGACAGCTCTGGGAAACAAAACACTGAAGAAAGCCAACCAGTCAACCAAAAAAGCTTATCAAGAGTAGGATGCAAACAAATAGGTTTCTGGCTGCATTTTACTTGTACATCAAATATGAGAGTTTGGCGCTCTTCTTTAAAATGGAAATGTGTCCTTTTTTTTAGGAAGGTACACCTTTTTCTTCTTAAATATGTTTCAAGTCCTACTGAACATCCAGAGAATAGGAATATTTTTGCATCTCTCCAGTTTGCAATGAGGTTTAATGAA